GGGCTCTTCTCTGGGATGTCCCCATGTCCCTTCACAGACCAGGCCTGGCCAGGGGGGCTTTGCTCTTTCTTCTCTCCCTCCCATCCCTGGGTGGCCACAGTTCCCCCCCACCCCTGAAAAGCCCCCCCTCGGTGCCAGGCTGGGTCACCTGGCCCTGGCACAGGACAGGCCTCGTGCTCTGGCTGTCCTGGAGGTGCCTCTTGGCCCTGCTGTCCATGGCTGGGGGGGTTCCCTGGGGACCACGGCACCGGGAGCCTTTGGAGCAGCACCCAGGAGAGCCAGGCCTGCTTGGCTGCCTCCCTGCACACAGGGAATCAGCTGGGGAACAGGGAAAACACTCTGTCAGCCCACATTTGAGGAAGGTCAGGGATGCAGAGACACCTTTAGGAGCGTCTCATACACGGGAAGGGAGGGAAACACGGGCAGGCAGGGGGTGAGGGGTTATGTCCTGTAGGATTAAGGGGCTTTCCTGGCTCAGTGGGGGGATTTGGGGTGAATCTGGGTTGGGGGGTGACAGGAGGGTGGCTGGTCATGAGTTCTGAGGTGATCAGGCTTCATGGCCAAGGCCCTGGTGGGATGGGCAGGACAGAGCCTGGAGGACACAGCACAGGGCTGGGGAGGGGTGGATGTTCTCCAGGAACGTGGGTGAGGTGTGGGGGCAGCTGGGTTGGGCCAAATGATCCCAAGGGTTGTGTTCCAACCCCAGAAATTGTGGGATTGAGGGAGGACGGAGGGAGCAGAGGGCTCTGGGGTTCCAGGGGCTGTGGGAGAATGGGATGGGGAGCGGGTGGGTTGGGGGGTCAGTGCAGGGGCACATGGGGTCCAGGGGTCCCTGGAGAGGCTGAGAGGGGACCTGGGGGGCAGTGGGTGGCTGAGGAGGTGGCAGGGGGGGCGTGGGTAAGCCCCGAGCTAGAGGGGTGCTGGGGACAGGAGCCATGTCCCCAAAGAAAGGTGACCCGGCCCTGTGAGAGCCCGGGGGGGGGCCGGGGGGGGCCGGGCCCATGTGCTGCCATCCCATAGGAGGGGGCGGCGGGGGCTGCTGAATGTGCAGGTCCCGGGTGGCTATTCCTGGCCCGGCCCGCCCGCGCGGGCAGATTGGTTTGCAGGGGGGTGACAAGTGGCAGATTGGTTTGCAGGGAGGTGACAAGTGCCAGCCCAAGCCTATAAAAGTCACCGCAGCCCCTGTCCTGGCTCAGTGACCCGGTTCCCCCGCCCCGGAGCAGAGGGGACACACCTGAGCGGGGATCCCACCGCGGAGCCCGGACTGGGAGCAGAGACCTTTTGGGAGCAGGAACCCCAGAGCAGGGCGGAGACCCCGGAGCGGAGCCCCCAGCCCCCGCTGTCCCCCAGCCCCCGGCTCTGCAGCGATGACGGGGAAAACGGCCCCTCCAGCCAAAAAACCCGCCCCGGCGGCCGCCAAGAAAAAGGCAGCGCCAGCCCCCAAGGAAAAGGCGGCTCCGGCCCCTAAGGAAGAAGCAGCCCCGAAGGAAGAAGCAGCCCCCAAGGAAGAACCAGCCCCGGCCCCGAAGGAAGAAGCAGCAGCCCCTAAAGAAGAAGCGGCCCCAGCCCCCGCTGCTGAAGAGCCCCCAGCCCCCACAGAAGCCGCTCCCACCCCCCCAGAAGCCGGAGCAGAAGCCCCTCCAGCCCCCGCAGAAGGTTCCCCAGCCCCCCCAGCCGAACCCCCGGCCCCCGAACCCGAACCCCAGCCCGAGAAACCAAAGGAAGGTGAGGACGGGACGGGACCCTGGAGTGGAGCAGGGCTTGGAGGGGCTCGGGGGATGTCGGGGTGAGGGGACGGAGGGGTGAAGCCGTCCAGGGGGGTTCTGCTGAGGATCAGGAGGGTGGGTGGGCTGAGAGTGAGGGACTGTCCTCGGGCAGAGCCTGCCCTCACCCCCCGGTTCGTTCCAGAGCCTCCCAGCTCCCCCCTGTCCTTGGCCGTGGAGGAGGTGAGTGAGAATTCCTTCACGCTGACCTGGAAAGCCCCGGAGCACACGGGCAAGGCGGGCCTGGATGGATACGTGGTGGAGATCTGCAAGGATGGAAGTAGGACCGGGCTTTCCTGCCCCTGAGCACGGAGGGGTGGGGTGTGTTGTGCGGGTGTGGGGTGGAGCTGCACACGCGTTTCCCAGGGCACCAACTCCCTTTCTTTGCCCAAATTGGTTCATTTTAAATGGTTATTTTACTTTATTTTTTTTTCCCCATGGAGAAGTGGGGCTTCCTGTTGGCTTCAGATAGTTGGGATGTCTCAGGCAGGGGGGTTGATGTCACTGCTGTGTCCAGCTGGAGGGTGGAGGAGGGACCAGCCTGCCCTCTGAGGATGGTCCCTGGTGAGCTCCAGCTCTGCAGAGACCTGGGGTTGGGATGGTGATCTTAGAAAACAGGAGGAAGAAGCTCAATTCTGCCACGTTTGCCTAAAGGGAAGCAGGGAAGGAATGGGGATGAGGCAGGAGGATGAGGGAGGAAAGGATCCCGGGCAGGGCAAGAGGGGCTGGAATGTGTCAGCAGCCCTGCAGGAGGGTGGGTGGCTGGGTGGAGGGGGCTGGGGGGTGGCAGTGATGGTCTGTGGGTCTCTGGTTGCATGGTTGGCCTGTGGAACGGGGGGGGGCTGGGGAAGACTCATGTTTTGGGACCTCTCTTGAAGCCCTGCTGGGCTTTGGGGTGACAGTGGGTGACCCACGTGCCCGGGGGGATCTGCAGGGGGAGGCTGGGGCTGGTGGGCTGGGGCTGCAGGAGCCTAGAGGGGTTTGGGAGATCCAGGTGGTCCAAGGGCCTTGGGGAACTCGATCCTTGTCTGTTCAGCTCGTGGCACACACGGTCAGCACGTTCTTGGCACATTCTTGGCTCCCATCACTGGGTTGGGGACCGGGGACAGCCACGAGGAGGCCCTTGCGTGGCACAGGGAAAGGTGCAGAGGTTCCTGGAGGGAGCTGGGTGGCAGCCACCCAGAGGGCACAGTCTGGGAGCTCTGCTGGGCCTGCCTGGGTGGCAGGAGAGCTCCAGTCACTCTGTGACCACCACAGGGGCTCAGTGACCGCCGTGCTCGGGCTGGGGCACGGCCCTGGGTGGGTAAAACCTGGGGAGGTTTGAGCGAGGGCTGCTCTGAGCAGTGCCAGCCACGAGGGGAAAGAGGAGCTGGGGGGATTTGGCTGCTCTGATGGCATTGACAGGGAAAACCTTCATGGTCTGAAGGTGCATGTGGTGACCTGGCAAACCCTGGCACACGGGGGTCACTTTGGGGACACCCAGGCCTCTGGTGACTGGGGCAGTTTGTTTTCCAGCTGAGGAACCTCCTCAGAGGTTTGGCACAAGGCAGGGTTGTGTCAGCTGGGGGATGGGGGGGTTCTACCCCTTGGCTGTGAGGTTGGTTTGAGATGCCCCTTCCAAGCAGGAAGCCAATGGTGGGATTTGGTAGTGACAGGAAAACCTCCTTGGGTTGAAGGTGGTAGGGACAGGTCCATGGGGCTGGTGGCACGGGATGAGCAGACCTTGCCTGGGGTGCAGGATGTGCTGGGGAACATGGGGAGTCCCAGTGTTGCCCTGGGGCAGTGAGAGGGGCAGACTGGCAGGAGGGGGTCAAAGGATTTTTGCTTCCAGAAACGCCCGTGGTCAGCAAGGACCAGGTTTGCTGGACCATGATTCCTTTTCTTGCCTGCAAAAAACCTCCTGCTCCACTGTTGAGCTTCTGTCAGCTCTTCATACCCCAAACTTCATTCCCAGCTCTTCATACCCAGCAATTCATACCCAGCAATTCATACCCAGCAATTCATAACCCAACATTTCATACCCAGGACTTGCCCAACACTTTATACACGGACTTCATGCCCCGAACTTCATTCCCAGCTCTTCACACCCAGCAATTCATAACCCAACACTTCATACTCAGCTCTTCATACCCAGGACTTCCCTAGGACTTCATACCCAGCCCTTCATACCCAACACTTCATACCCCAGCCCTTCATACCCAACACTTCATACCCCAGCACTTCATACCCAGCAGTTCACACCCCAACACTTCATACCCCAGCACTTCATACCCAGCTCTTCTTACCCAGGACTTACCCAACTCTTTATCCCCAGCTTTTCATACCCAGCACTTCTTACCCAACACTTCATACCCAACACTTCATACCCAGAACTTCATAACCCAACACTTCATAAACCAGTCCTTCACACCCAGCTCTTCATACCCAGGACTTACCCAGGACTTCATGTCCAGGTCTTCATATCCAACACTTCATACTCCAGCACTTCCTACCCCAGCCCTTCATACCCAACACTTCATACATGGACTTCATATCCCAGCTCTTCACACCCAGCACTTCGTACCCAACACTTCAAACTCAGCAATTCACATTCCCAACACTTCACACCCAGCTCTTCACCCCCCACACCCCTCTAAGGTCCCTTTTTCCACTGCTGCCCCAAATCGTTCCATCTTTCCCAGGAAGGGGTTCTTTGCCTCTGGATCGCTCCTGGGGGGCTCCTGCTGTCTGGGGGGGTGTCTGTCTGTCTGTCTGTCCCTGGCACACCTGAAGTTCTGTGCTGGGTCCATCCCAGGTTCTGACTGGAAAGCTGTGAACCAGGAGCCTTTCCTTTCCACCCGCTACACGGTCCCAAACCTCAGCTCTGGGGACAAGATCCACGTGCGGGTGACGGCCGTGGGAGCCGGGGGACCCAGCGCCCCGGCCACGCTGGAGCAGCCCGTGCTCATCAGGGAGATCCTCCGTGAGTACTGTGGAGTGCCGGGAGAAATCCCTGTGGAATTCCAGGGTGAAATCCTGCAGAATTCCTGGGTGAAATCCCACAGAATTCCTGGGTGAAATCTCACAGAATTCCAGGGTGAAATCCTTCAGAATTCCAGGGTGAAATCCTGCAGAATTCTAGGGTGAAATCCCTGCAGAATTCCTGTCCATCCCTGCAGAATTCCAGGCTGAAATCCCTGCAGAATTCCTGGGTGCCCATCCCTGCAGAGTTCTTGGGTGTCATCCCTGGAGTTCCTGGGTGTCCATCCCTGCAGCTTCTGCCCCTCTCACACATCACATCCAACCCCTGGCCCAGACCATGGAACATTCCCGGCTGGAAGGACCCACCAGGACCATCCAGTCCAACCCTTGAGTGAAGGGGACCAAACCCACCCTCCTGGAGCACTGTGCTGCACCCCACGGATCCAATCCCAGATTTTGGGGTTATTCTCCCTGCCTGGGCCCAATTGCCTCGGGAGGGAGAACCTTCCCGACCTCCAGGGGCTGCTCCTGCAGTCGGGGAAGCTCTGGGGGTGAAGGACTCCCAGGGCAGAGCCGCATTCCCGCAGTAGGAGCTCGGCGTCCGTGTCCCTCCCTGCCCGTCTCCTCCCCCTGGCCACGCTCTCATCCCAAAATTCCCCCCCGTTGGACAGCTCTGTTTGTTTGGCTCGGGAGAGGCGGGAGCTGCTCGTCGGGGCCGTGGGAACTCCAATCACGCTGAACTCTAATCACGCTGAACTCGCTAATGAACGAGTTGCTCCCGTGCCTGGCAGGGCTCACATTCCTGCCGGGATGCTGCCGCTGGATGAGGCTCTGCTGGTTCCCGCTCAGCAAACAGCACATTCAGGCTCATTCTCCCTTTCCAAGGAATTATGAGCTCCCAAGTTTTCTCGGTACTTGAAGGACATGTGGAATTTTACAGCTGCTTAAAAATAGCAATAATGCCAATAAGGGTTATTCCAGGAACCATCAGATTTTCCTAGGAAAAGGCTTGGAGAAGTCTGGGAAGGTGCTGCAGGGTCTGTGCTCTGAGAGGAGATGGATATTTCTTTTCTTTTCTTTTCTTTTCTTTTCTTTT